CATTTATCTGCCTGTCTGCCATTTATCACGTACTGGCCCAAGCCACATTTTTAAATATCGAAGAACTTGACTTTCCCAGTAGGTGGTGATTTACTAACCGGTCAGTGATGTGTCTGAAGCTGATTTCTCACCATGTTTTGAAATACCCCGAGTATTTATGAGCTGTTTCCCTGATTTTTTGTGTAAGTATCTGGTGATGCTGTTTTGACATCTAGATATGATAGAACTGTTTTGCACTACTGGGATGGAAGTATAGAAACTGTTAAAGACAAGGTATTCATCATGTTGGCAGCTCTGTGCACTTATTATAGTGGAGTGTAGTAAACATGGGATGTGCAAGATTTTCCAGTTAGCTCAGAAAATTCCCATGATAGCAAGTGATGTGATTGAATTCAGAGTTATTTCTTTCACTCTAGCTCTAAAATTTCACCTGTTACTCCTCATTCCCTTTTTTTCCTGCTTGTCAACCAGAATCCTTATTTTACTGTGAGCCTTGCTGGCTTGATCTCATTCATGAACGCTGTTTATCTCTTGGTATCTTGTCTAGTTGGAGGACATAGCACTGCTTAGTCTGCGTTAGACAAGATTTTTAGTAAAGAAGTGGGGAGAACAGTAAAGTGTTTAAGGAATATATACAATTTTGCATAGTACAGTAACCTATCAGCACAGTATATATATCTCCAGTATATTTCATTACCATTCATCATGGTGTGTGAGAGTGACTCTTTTAGTAAAAGTACTTGATTTCACTTTCTTTTGAATGAAAGTAACAATTTTGTTCCTGTCAATTTAGAATTATGCAAGTAGGACATTTTATTAAACCGTGGTTATGTACTCTCCATTTCAGTTTACCTCTGGATAACAGCAGAGTTTAACAGGATGCTACATGTGACTATTTCAAGTTTCTTCCATATTAAGCAGTAAGCAGAGGAAACCTGTGGCCCTGGCGAGGTGCTGGCGGTGCGGGGAGGTTGGTGGACACGACAGCCGTGGCGCAGCCTGGGCTCCGGCCGCGCTTAGTGCGGGATTCCAGGCCTTGGGGTACTCGGGAGGTCAAATAGTTTCCTAGTCTGCACATCTCCTGCTGCTTGCCCATCTGTGAAATGCCAAATTAGACTGAATAATCAGATTTTGCTTGCTGTTTTATTCCAGACCATATTTAACATACTGCTGCTTCTGCTGTAGCTTGAACTGACCTGACAGTATCGAGGATATTTACTTTTTCTCTTGGTAGTTGTCCCAAATATTTTCCTCCATCATAACCCTTAGGAGGCTCAGAAGGGCCCTCATAGGTGGGCTACATTAATACTGCCACCTAAAAACATGCAAATAGGGAAAGTTGGAGGAAATATGGAATCTGAGAGAAGAGCTGCTGTGGGCACAGCTCCCTGCGGGCACCTGCACGGACATTCCAGCGCTGCCTGGGCGCTCGCGCTGACACCAGTCCCTGCAGAAGGTCACGGAGGCCAGGCCGCAGCTCCAGCGCAGGGAAGCAGCGCTTGTGTCTTGGCCAGGGCCCTGTGTCCCTGCAGTGCTTGGTGCCAGGGCACTGGTGATACCCCAGGTAGCGGCCGTCACTCTGTCTTCTAGGCCACTTGTTACAATTCTGTGGGAGCTCTGGATCCCAAGGTACTTTCAGTGTAGATCTGTGTGCGCGTGTGCCCTGTATGCTGTGGATCTATTCGTGATTAACGGGTGTGAGTGTGATCCTGTGTTTAAATGGGTTTCTGCATATCAGGCCCTCCATTACAGCTGCATAAGAAATTCTAAAGGCAGTGTGCTTTGACTTCTCTCTCACTGGCTGTCAATTATAGTCTGACGTTCAGCTTTGGATCTTAAATCTTTTGTGTGTTTTGGAGAGTGAAGATGGCTCCATCCTGTAGGCAGCGCAGGGCTGGAAGCGCGTTCCTGCTGTAAGACAAAGCTCAGCGCAGCGATGCCTTTCAGCGTGGTTAGGGGAGCTGGCCTTGTCAAACGTGCAGCGTGCACATCTCCTCTCAGCTGGAGACCGAGAGTCCTCTGTGTCGAAGTGAAAATCTCACTCAGAGTTATGTTAGCTTGGAAAATATAAATCATATATTCACCTACTTGCCTTAGATAGAAGAGGATTTAAATTAACGTGTGTCTGTTTTCCATGGAATATGTTGCGTGAGGAAGGAGACAGCACCCGCTGCGGACTCATCCCTGACCCAGTGCCAGTCGGACTGTGCAGCCTGAGGGGGAAGCGAGAGGCCCTCAGAGCAGGGCTCTTGTAGCAGCCGGTGGCACTGAGCAGGTCCTCGCTCCATGGAGACTCTGCCTGTCCCCTGGGAGCCCAGGAGAGGCCCCTGGCCTCGTGTGCGGGTTTTCCCTGTCCTCCTCTTCCCTTCAGCCTGCCTGAAGGAGGCTACTGCAAAGGGAACAGCCATAGGAACAGTATCAATATCAATGTGGAAAACCCTCCAGAAAGAGGGCTGAACAGAAGGAGCGCATTGTAACAGAGGATGCTTTCCACGTACTCCTAGCTGGAACAAAAAATGAAAGTTAACAAGGCATTACTGAGTACAAACAGCTCCTAAATTCAATTACTGCAAAGCCTTGCCAGTTCTACAGTGAGTCAGGTGTTTCTCAGAGAGCTGCAAACCTAGAAAACCAACCAAGCTGGCAATTCTGTCTGTATAAAATGTAGTGTTGTTTTTTATTTAAAGGGTGTGGGGTGAAATTTGAGCTTAGCTTCGTGAAGCAGAGTCATACCTGAGTCAGCAGCACATCTGTGGTTTTGCTTTCTGAGCCCTAGATAAAACTCCTCTGTGGGCATTTCCCTTAGCAGTCTGGGCAGCTTTTCTGTTATTGTAATGTTGTCAACAGGAAAACGCAGCCCTCAAAACAGCTTCCTACCTCAATCGTTTGAATACTGGTCCTCAAATCATTGGGGGTTTTGGTTCTAGGGACTATATCTGTTAATATGTTGATTTTTGTATTGAATTTTGAGCTTTTTGCACTCTCAAATGATGTTGTGTGCTACATTTCTGTTGGCTGCCTTTCTTCTGGGGGGCCTCTGTTCCCTTCTGGAAAGTTGGCAGAACTTAAGTAGAAAACTTCTGTAGGGAGATGGCAAACCTGGCATATCCCTGGCTCCTGTGTGGTAATAGGTATATGTGGGTATATGTGTTCACGCTGCATTTACCCTTTGTTGAGGGTTTTTTAGATCTACTGTTGGGTGAAAAATTTCCCAACTTCAGTGGGATTCAACTTTCAGTCTGCCTTTTTTCTGTCTTTCCTCCTCAAGCACTGAGAGCTTGAAAGCTAATTTCCTTGTGTGTCCACCAGCAAATCTGTTTTAAAAAAGCAACAGTGTACAATATAGATGAGGCATTAGACTGCCCTGTGTTTCTAGAGGCACCTGGAGACATTATCGTGTGATTCTCAGTAGGCCTCCCTGGAGCCCTGCCGTGTTTCTGCCATCCATAAGAGCAGGGTTTGGATCTGGCTGGCAGACATGGAGGCTGCTGCTGTGAAATTGTGCAGCTGAACATTGTAAACACCTTGCTGACACACAGCAAAAATCCCTAACACCTCTTCTAAATCATAGAATGCTTAAGGTTGGAAGGGACCTCTAGAGATCATCCAGTCCAACCCCCTGCACACGCAGGGTCACCTAGAGCACGGGGCACAGGACTGCGTCCAAGCAGGTTTTGAAGGTCTCCAGAGAAGGAGGCTCCACAAACTCTCTTGGCAACTTGTTCCAGTGCTCTGTCACCTTCACTGATAAGAAATTTTTCCTTAAGTTCCTGTGGAACTTTTGATGCTTCAGTTTGTGGCCCTTTCCTCTAGTTCTGTCGGTGGCCACCAGTGAAAAGAGGCCGGCCTCATCCTCCTCACTCCCTCCCTTGAGGTACTTGCATACACTGATTAGATCCCCTCTCAGCCTTCTCTTCTCCAGGCTGAACAGGCCCAGCTCCCTCAGCCTCTCCTCATAGGGCAGATGTTCCAGGCCCCTGATCATCCTCGTAGCCCTGTGCTCAGGATCCCATTGGCTTTCTTGGCCACGAGGGCAACTGCTGCCTCATGGTCAACTTGTCGTCCACCAGGACGCCCAGGTCTTTCTCCGCAGAGCTGCTCTCCACAAGCTCGGTCCCCAGCCTGTACTGGTGTCTGGGGTTATTCCTCCCCAGGTGCAGGACCCTGCACTTGCCTTTGTTAAATGTCATAAGGTTTCTCAGCACCCAAAGTCCCATGAAAACATTACCATTACTGAGATAGATAGATAGATAGATAAATATGCGTGTGTATACACATACACATATGTGTGTGTGTATGTATATATATGCACACGCATACATATATATTGTACAGTTATTTCCAGTTAATCTTCTAGATGTACGGAGCAAGCTTAAGGAAATACAAAAGATAAAGATTAATTTAAAGATAAAGAATAATTTAAAATCTCTACCAAAATCCCACACCTGCAAGGGAATAGAGTAAACATCATCAAAACCAATATTCGTTGCTTGCTTTTCTGTTTTGTGCCTTTGTTTTTTTTTTTTGTGCTTTTTTTTTTTTTTTTTTTTTTTTTTTTTCCCCCAGAGTTGCTTGGCATTTTTTCCTTCTGCCTTATAGTCTTACACTGAAACCTAGAATTAGACTGCTCATAATATTAGCATCATTTGTCACTTCAGTGTGGGGCTGTGCTCGTGCATATAAACAGGAAGAGGTGGAATGAACAAAAGGTGCAAAACCACTGGGGACAGACACCCAGTGGGACTGGGGAGAGGCCGGGAGTCCAATATGTGGGTGTCATGACTCCTCATGGAAGCGCTCAAGTAGCAGTGAGCAGGAGCGAGTTCTCTGGGAGCCTGAAAACCCAAGTGTGGTGACAGGATGTCCCTTGAGTCCTGTGTTTAAAATGGAACTAGGTGGAAAACCCAGCCCAAAAGGCTACTTGTGAGCACACGGGCTGCACGGTGGGGCTGTGCGAGCTCTCCTGTTAACGCTCTCTGTGTTTCTGCCTTCCCTTCCAGGTGCAAGTGGGAAGTACACCTCAGGACCAAAGAATCGTGGGATACGTTTCCTGTACTCACTTGCAAGCTCTCGCAGGTACCGTCCCCGTTGGTGTCTCTGCCTTTCTCGCTGTCCTGGGGCTCCGCGGGGGTTTCTGTGCTCACACAGCAAGCGATGCCCCTCCAGGCCTGCTGCGGTTAGGGGTGCTCTGCAGATAGCCGTGAGCTGCGAAGGAGGCAGGGCAGGCAGCTCTATCCCAAAACTGCACTTTCCAGTCTCGTACATTGTAAGAAACAGTAAAAAAACCCTTGAGAGAGTTTTCCCTTTGCTTCCTTTTATCTAAATAGCTACTTTAGCTAAATACTACCATCATTAGTCATACCCTAAAAGAATAACCGTCAACAGCATTTATAAACCCATACTACGAATGTCACCACATAACCCACAATGTCTCTGTGTGTAACAGGGATTTATCAGAAGAAACAAGTTGAGATGGTTTTTCCATCAGAAATCAGTGGTAGAAATAAGCCAAAATTGTCTGACCTACCAATTTCATATATAAATTTCTAGCATGCTTATTTAAAAATTTTAAAATTTTTGTTGGTCATGTTTTTCACTGAATTAGCTTCAAAAAGCAAGTGAAAATCTTCTGCAGTAGCACATTTCTGTGGCTGTGAGATGTGTGGATTCCAGCACTGCCCATAACAAGGCTGGAATTTCACATTAGCTCTCTATCTCTCAAGTTGTGGGTAGCCGTGTTCTTCCTCAACTATCTTAGGTACTCTCATGACCCTGTTTCAGGAGAGCATCTCAGCACTTAGATCTTTTTTAATGTCAGTCCTCAGAACAAGACGGAGTGAAGTTGGCCACTATAGCTGAGTAGCTTTATCTCCATTGTACAGACCAGGTCTGGAGAGATAGGGAAGGGAAAAGATAGTAACATAATGTGTTTATTTCATTTCATTTTTCCCTTGTCCTCATGCATACCTGAGAATACTGAATCGAGAAATCTTTCTATTCTAGCTGTTGGCCTGAGCACTCATCAGTTAAAACTGACACACAGTTGAAATCTGAATGCGTGCATAGAGAAAATTTTCCATGCATCTCCTCTCTCCTTTGCATCAAAAGTATCAGCCGTAGCCTTTCAATAGGGGTTAACAAAGCTTTAATTGTGTGTAAGATCAAATTTTAATTTGGACGGGGTGATCCTTGCATTGAGCATAGCTGGGGAGCAGAGTGCTGCCCTCTGGCCTGCACACCACAGCGTGGGGCAGCACGAACACGCTCTGAGCTCCGACCCTGGGCTCCGCAGCACGTCCAGGCTAACACGGGCAGGCGTGCAGAACCAGCCACACATTTCCCTGGTGCTCCAGTTACAGGGAGACAGACTTTGGAACAGAGCTGACAATCCCCAAGTACTTTAGAGAGACTGAATAGTTTTAAAAAAGATTCATGAATTTTTCAGCTACTTTTCAACAGTGTAACAGCCTGTGTGTTTAACTCCGGAGCTGTGCTGATGTACTGGGAGAGTGCTGCTGAGGAGCAGAGATTTGTTGCTGTTCTAGATAATGTTATAATCCTCTGGTTTTAGTTCTGATACTTTTTACTACCTAGTCATGCATTTTCAGGTAGTCTTTGCTAATCACACTGTCAAGTCCATAAAATATTAAAGAGGAAGGGAAATAATGTTCTATTCTCAAAGTTAGTCCAAAGCTTCTCTGGGGGTAAAACATAACCTTTCATTTTTCTGCTTACACTTTTGCTTCACATTTTTAGGCTTCTGTAGTTCAAGCTACATTCAAATAGAGACAAAGACTTAAGAGTCTGAATGTGTTTTGATAAATCACATTAGTTTATGTAATGAAATGGAAAACTAACGTTCATAACAGTCTGGCAGAGCTGTGCTTTCTGATTTGTATCATCCACTTCAAAACATTTCATACATTTAAAAAAAGCTGTCCGAAAAACAGTTCAACCATATAAAGATGTGGTAAAAACAAGCCCGGTTTAAAAGGTTAACCGTTTAAATCATCTTGTCACACACGGCTGAGTGTAATTCGGCTCCCTTTAGGATACACAGACTTACATTTGATGGCTCTGGTAATTACATGAACATAGAAGGAAGGGATCCAACTGGTCATGGTCAAAAAGCTGCTTTTGCAAGAGATGTGCTGGCTAAACACTGTTCTGAGCAGTTACTATTTGTTTTAGAGCTGACGTGCACCTTCAGTAAAATTTTAGAATTAGATGAAAATTACCAGCTTAATTCTGTACCTATTACACAATGTTGCTATGAAGCAGCTCCTCATTTCCACTGTGGAAATAGCTGCATTGCAGTGACAAATGAAGGGATCCTGTAATGAGACTTGAATGTAATTATTTTCCAGAGGGCCGTTAAGTTATATGCTTCTTTTATGTCTTTCAATTAGACAGTGATTAATGGTCTGAGCAGGTTTTGCTGTCTGCAAGCAGCAAAAATCTACCTTCCAAGTCCCATTAAATTGGGTCTTGGGGAGACCCCCACAAAACCCCCAAGCCCCAACCTGTTCCGGCTTGGGTTGCACACTGGGCACTGTCCCTTCAACTCCCTCATGGTTCAGTTTGCACAAGCCCACACACAGAGGGAGCAGAATTCAGGTCAGGTCTGGGAGGGATCCTCAGTGTTTGAAATCCTGGCTGTGCCATTCGGGAGTGTCATGTTAAATGCCCCCAGGCAGGATTCTACATCTGCTCCTGCAATAGCCAAGCTGGCCTCTCGGCACCGTGGCGGCGTGTCCTGCCCTTGCCCTGTCCTCGGTTGTGCTAACGCAGCAGTTCTGGTGTTGCCCTGAACTAGAGAGCTGACCTAGCTGGAAAGTCACCCAGCAGGATGAAGGTGGGGGTGTGTGGGGCATCTCTTACTGCCTCCTTGGCCCAGGGGAAGGTCTGGGTTAGAGCTATGAGGTGGGGGTCTCCTTGACACGCTGATGGATTCTCTTGTGCTTGGAAAGTGCTGCTTCTCTAACGAGGCCTTGCACTTACCTCCCTCTTCTCCTTCTCTTACCCAGATTCCCTGCCTGTGGGTGCCGTGGCCCTTCTCAGTGCTGGGCTCTCCAGGCTGGGTCTCTCCCTTTCTGCCCCAGGCAGGGCTGCCAGCTGCTTTTCCAGCAGCCTGAAGGCTCCTCCTGGTAGCACCTTCCATGTCTGTAGCTAAAGCAGAGGGTCCTCCTCGGTGCGTGGTACCAGCCTGCACTGCTCAGGACAGGATCTGGCTTGGGAGTTTCCAAACCAGCTGGAAAAAGGCAGCTCTGATTATCCCACTGTGAACAAGGCTGCAGGGCATATTGGTGCTGGCTGAGGTTTCCTACACTGCTTTGTCATCCTTCCATGTAAAACTAGAAGCTGAAAGGAACTTGCAAAGAACTCGAATATGCCGATGGCAGGGACCAGTCACAACACAATTACTTGCATTTTTCCAGACCAGTTATTGAGGGAAAAGGAAAAAAAAAAAAAACTGCAGAGCAATTAGTACAAATCCATTTCCTCTGGTTAATCATTGGTGACAGTCAATAAGCCGAACACTTAATTGGAGCTGAAGGCTGGAGAAAAGAGGTGGTGAACATTGGAGTTGGAAGGTGGTTCCTAGTTCCCTTTGCCTCCTGTTTGCAGGAGCTATTTCATTTCAGCAATAGGCCGTTTTTGAAACATCTTCTCCACTGGTTGTTCTGGATTCACGTTTGGCTTCTTCTCTATTTTGGTGTCTGATTAGTTCAGTTAGCTCCAAAGTCATCATCACTGGGGGCCTGTAAGTGTGAGCCTCACTAGTTCTTTTGCTTCTAAATATGTAGAGCCTATTGCGAAGCTGCTGGAAGCTGGAGAGCATCATGTAATAGTAATCTCTGACAGTAATTGGCATTCAGGTTGCATTAAAGGATTCCTTCATCTGCCGTTGACCTGTCGCTCCCTGGGCTGTGCACTCTGCATCCACGTGGGACGCGGAGCTGCTGCGGGGCCGGCGGTGGCAGAGCAGAGATGTCGCTGTTCACACGCTGCTTCTAGGGAGAAGGAAAGATGGCCTGTTCCTAGAGCTTCCGGGGTGCTGTTTCCCTATAGTCCTGAGGTGGTGCAGTGTATGGTGCTTCTACAGCCCAAAGCTCAGGACTCTCGACAAGTAAGGTGTAAGCCACTGCGTAATTACTGCTTCTCCCTGCCTTTCCAGTAATGGCAATGCATATTACAAGACACACCTCACGGTAACATGTTTTGCTTGTTTTTCTCCGAAGTTTTCTGTTTCTGACAATTGTACCTTTGTGCATTTGTTTGCTGTGTTCTTCTCATTGATCTGCTCCTGGTTGCTGCCTCAGTTTCCCGACCTCATAAGTACTTGTTCTATTATTTTTTTCTTTACCTAGTGAAGGACTGCTATATATTTCACAGAAGACACAAATGAAATCTTGACCCTTAAGGGATGGAAAGGCCGTCTTAGACATATAAGCAATTCATATAATCAAGGCTTTGTGGGGAGCAAGATTAGTTACTGTGTTCTTGTAAAAAGACTCGAGGCTAAAAGTCGGGTCAAGAGGAAAGTGCTGGCATATGGAGATAAGGAAGATTCAGATGCTGCAGAAATACCAGGATCCAGTACGACCTTCACTCTACACCCAGATGGGCCGTGTCGTGAACGAGGCAGCTGGGACTGTTCGGCTCATGAAGGGAAGGCTTGGGATGGGGGACTTTCTCCATGTGTTTAAATACCTGCTGGGAGCATAAGGAAGCTGGAGGCAGCCTGTTCTCAGGGCAAGAGGCAACGGGAACAGACTGAAACACAAAGAATTCCTTTCAAACTTAAGAACAAAAACTTTTTTACTCTAAGGGTGACTGAAATCTGGACCAGGTTGCCTGGGGCAGTTATGGAGTTCTCCCCCCATGGTTACGTCCAGAACATGTGACCCTGCCTTGGGCAGGGACACTGGGCTACATGATCTCCGGAGGCCCTTACCAACCCCAGCCGGTCTGCGAGCCTCCTATTTCATCTGTGTCTTTAGCTGAGCAGAACGTGTGTCAGTCACGCGCACGTTTCACGGTCAGTATCACCTGCTCCAGGCTGTCATTTATTCCGTGCGACCTATTTCTTGTGCTTTTGTCTAGCTGCATCTTGAATGTAGGGCTCTTTCTTGTGGCGAGCACTGTATCAGTATGTTTGCCAGCAGCTTTTATTAACGTGCAGTTCTGTGCAGTGCAAATAAGCACTGTGGTAGCAAGGGATGCTCCTAAGAATACCTTAGACTCTCAAGCTGCACAATTAGCTGTGTTATTAGCTAAAATGGATGTATAGGTAACCAGAAACTGTAGATCTGGGAGTAGTTTCAGATAGGACTTATACTAGTTTGTATATTACATCCCAAATGGTACAGATTTGTCAGGAATAACTGATGAGTAGAAGGAAAAAAAAAACATATTATTTGGCAGTGGAATTAAATGTCTAAGGAGATGAGTCAGTGTCAGGATGTATTTAAAGCTCTCTCCCTGGTCATGTTCTTTTCAATATTCCATTTAATTATTGAGGACTCTATCAAGTTGTGTTTAGTTGAACATTTCTGATGCATTTTATATTTAACTGTTACTGAACTCCCTTATTCTTGAAAATGAAGCCCTGCCCAGGTTAAGAGCGGTAGGAAAGTGAAGTCACGATGCCTGAACTTTCTTTCTGTGCTCCAAGGCAGCTGCTGTGCCCAGAGCTCACACTTTAAAAGTCTTATCAAGTGCTGGCAGCAGCCCCAACTGAGTGGAGTGACAAACAAGCTTTGAGGAGAGATGTGACCTCCAGCCCAGTAGAGCCAGGGCGGCTGGTTTTAAGAATGAGGCTTAGAAGGAACCACTGCTGTGAGCCAGCCCCCTTGCCAGGATTGCCAGCTCTGCCTTGGAATTCTTGCGTGCAAATCATTTTACCTCCCCTGGCAGTTGCAGGATCCTGCTAGTTAGTATCTGCATTATTTCTTTGTTTATCACTTTAATATGAGTTAAGCTGAATTCAACGAACTATCTTGTTTAGAAATATCCAGAATTTGAACCTTTGTTGTCTGTTCACTTATCTGTTAACTGGCACATAGCTTCCAGCCTTACGATACTAAATCCACAAGGATGTAGTTTTCTATCCTGCTGTAGCATTCAATTTGGTATTTTTTTTGTTAATCCCCCTGCAAGGTATTAGATGAGGGAAGCATTCCTACTGCTATGCCAAACTGCTCCCATTGGTGCGGATGCATCAGACATTCAAGGAATACTTTATCCCTTTAAAATTAGGCAAAGGATGCTTAAGCAGTCTAGGTGAATAGAAACCTTCCAAAAAGGCTTCACTTAACAACCTAACTGAAAACTTTAACAACCTAAGTATCATTGAAAATCTGCCTTCGTCATCTGCAGTGTGTAATCTGTAAGCAGTATCTATCTTCTCTTGGGTTTGGAAAAAGAGAATTTGCAAGAACTTCTATATCCCTTTCTTTCCTGTAAAAAGAAGTCAATACTTTGAAATGGTAACTGACTTACCGTAAGTTTTTATGAAGAAGCAAAGAAAGTATTTCATATGTGCAGAATTAAATATTCACCATCTCCATAGTAAGTGACACTGAAAGCAGCTTTAGACATAAACAACTAGGCTATTTTTGATTTTTTTTTTCCCACCTTTTTAATAGCTATCACAAAGCAGTAAGGCTAATGTAAAATTTAAGTCAGAGTGACATGAGCTGGCTGTTTTCTACTGATTGATTGTGGTATTTAAACACAAATCTTTGTTTTATTTTGAAGAAAAGCAAAGTTGTTCTGATTTGACATTTATCACTCCAACAAACAAAAATCATAATTATTTCTAAAATATCTTTCTGCTCCTTTCTCCTATATCAAGCTTTTACTAGCTCTCTTGAAATAATTACAGCAACTATTTTTTTCTTCACACTTAATATCAACTAATCTGCTTGAAATTAGATATGTTTAGTTGCACTAATTAAAGAGTTGGTTTATATGTCAAGTGGCTTCACAAACTGAAAAATATTTTGTAACCATTCAATCTCAGCCCTTTCATAGTACTTCATAAGCTGGGGCACATCCTTGATCTGTAGCCTCCTATAAAACTTGAACTGACTGGCAAAAGGGATCTGGTTCTTTTTGAAGTACTGCCTACTTAAATCTGTATCATATATGCACCTTTAAAAATACGGAAATACTTCCAGTTTGCCATTTCTGAACATGAGTAAAATCCTTCTGCCTGTAGATTACTAAAGTATGAGTAAGCTGAACAAGTAAGTTTTTGATCTTCACGTACTAGGAAGGAAGCAAAGAAAGAGTAAGCGTGATGCCCAGGAGCACACGGCCCAGTTTTGGCATAGGTAAGATCTTAACTCTGGCCTCCTAATTATGGATCTCACGCAGCCCTCCCTCCTCCTGCGGCTCAGAACGTCACCGTTCGCTTGTCTGTCTGGGGAACGGGTGACTTGTCTCTCTGTTTCTTCAGAAGTGCTTAGTGTGATTCCAGGAGATACTTAAATCGTCAAAAAGTGTGATTTCCAAAGTTCAAAATTAACTATGCACCATGTACATAGTATGCTGTTATCCACACCATTGCTTAGCAACTAATGTGACTATATTTTATTTCATTAGAGACATAAATGATGGTTTTTAAGAGGTGGTTTTAAAAAAGGGGGAAGTATTTATCTTGGTAGTTTGCTTTAATCCCTATGTCCTTGAATTCAACAGATGACATTTGGACCCAGCTCTGCAGAGATATCTAGGACCAGTTTTGCTGGATGCACTCTGACACTCTGAGCACCCAACTCTAAAATGCACATTTTAAAATGAAAATGAAACATTTTTTTGGAATTCCTTTGTTTGCTGCAGGAGATACTACTGTTCGATGTGAGCAACTGGATATGCTTCAAGATTGGCTGTCTGAATTCAGAAAATCTACCTCCTCCTCCAGCACAGCCAATCCCGAGGAGCTGGTGGCTTTTGATGTCATCTGTGGCGATCTCAACTTTGATAACTGCTCCTCCGGTAAGACGAGCTTTTCCTTTTCCTGCTCTGTACCTGTTCTGATAATAATGGAGCAGTTGTTGTTTTCTTCCTCTTGTGGATAGTTGCAGTGTATGCAAAGCTGTGCCTGACTTTTGCAGCCATGCATAGGGAAACTTCAGGGGTACTGAAGCCATTAAAATAGGGATGAGGCCTTTGATGACCCAGGGAGAGCATCTCTCACTTACAAACTCTGCGCGCTCTTAAGCAGAGGCTGTATTTTAAGGTACAGTGGGCTACTTCTGCCTTGCAGTAGTAAAAATGGGGGGATTCAGTGGTCTCGTTTTACTTGATTTGTTTAGATGTACTCTGTGACACCTTTTGTCTAGAATTTTAGTTACTATCAAAGTAAGTGTTGTGGGTTTTTATGGGGGAGGGATGGGGGAAGCAGTAAAATCATACAGTTAAAAGATTTTATGGTTTATGTATATGTATCAAAGAGGGTAATGTTGTGGAGAGAACTTAACATTGCCAAAGCATTTATGGGGCGCGTGGGAATGAACTGTGCTGGTGTGGTTTTATATGTTTTTAAATAGTAGTCTATTTTTTCTTCTATATTTGGATACTGGGGGCACTATTAAAAAAAAAAAAAAAAAGGCAAGCACAAGGTGGTGAATTTTCAGAGATGCTGGTCTCTTCCCCACATAGATAGCGTGCTCCCTGACCCAGCTGAGCTGCCAGCACTGGGTGCAAAGCCCTGTGTTTGCATGCGTCTTCTCTGCCTCTCGCCCGGGGTGCAGTTCAGCCCCTGGGGGGCTTCATCACAGGGAATTCCTTGGTGCTGGGTGTCACCAGTGTGATGGGCTGGCTGCAGATGAGCTCACATTCACACTGGACTTCAGCAATTCAGACCACTTGAGTTTGTGGAGTAACAGTTTGTGGATGATGTGTGTAAACAGCATCCAGTGTGAATTCAGCAGTGTTCGTGAGAAGCCTAGGTAATTTAGCAAGGCTTGCGAGCATCGACTCTACTAAAACAAAGCAACTAAACCACAGAGAGTAGGCCTTATCTATCTAATAATAAATAACTAGTATTATCTAATAATAAATAACTAGGGTTATCTAATCTCATGGCTCCCATCAGACACTTGAAATAGAAGACTTTTGTAAAGGATGAGAAATGCTTAACTGAGTGGGAAAGACCTGCAGCCCCAACCCACAGCTGTTCTGGGGTTTGCTCTTAGCTCACGTATACTACTGATCGTGACTGCCTGGTCCAAAGCAAACTCCAAACGGCCAGAGAATGAGCTGGCAACAGCTCTGCCTGCTGGAGAAAGCAGCTGTGCATGGCAGAGATGAGGAGCAAGTAATATTGACTACAGAATGCTGTAGAGGAACAGAATTTATTAGGATGAAATGCCAGGGTAGTAGCGGTAGTGAGTTTATAAGAAAGGGAGGAATTCACTGAGTCAGAGGCAGTCCAGCCAGCCAAGGTGCTCTGGGGCAGATTGGAGATGTAATTTCAGCAGCCCTGATAAAGGGAGACAGAAGCTTAGGGGATACTGAGCGGACCCAACTGCTGCCTTGTGACGCGTAATATTGTTGGATGGAGGCTCAGATGGACAGAGTGGCCTTGGGCAAAGACGAGGGGCGAGAGAAGCTGCTGCAGAGCACAGAGGGGATGCACGGGCAGCACGTGTGCGCCAGCGAGGCCGGGCAGCGCCGGGGAGCAGGACACGCACGGGCAGAGCAGAGAGGAGCACACGGCGAGCAGCCCCTGCCTGGGAAGCCTTGGCACTCTGACCAGCTCTACCGATAGGGATGCTCCTCACAGTTGGGCTTGCTAAGGCAAAAGAAAAAGCAACGATCTGCTTCTGCAAACAACCTTTACAGCTATTGCTTAAGAGGATTAAAAAGTACGTTATAAAAATCCATTTTGTTTTTACCATCCCTACAGCTCATTTACTTTTCTCCCCTTTAAAATTAGCTCAGCCTGGAAATTGAAATTAAGTTGGCTATTTCATTTTTTTATTTGTAGATTACTTTATTTCCTATGCATTAAGCAAGATTAATGCTTTGTTCTAAGGCTGTCTTTTCCTTTTTAAATTATGTATTGCTTTACAGAGATTGGTTAGCATTGCAAAGAACAGAATGTTTTTACGGTAATCTTTTTTTAAACAATAATCAGCTTTCTGTAAATCTGTATACAGTTTTGGGTATTGTTACCCATTCCACTGACTGACATAGTAAATTTTTTTTTTTTTTGTACTAGTGACTATCAGGTTTTCAAAGATCTCCAGGCTTATGAGTGATCTTATACTTGGCATAAACTTTCAGTAACTTGGTTTTCCCCAGTGTCAGAGAGCATTATCTCAACATTAGTACAGCAAATTCTCATTTATCAGGACCATTATTAGAAAGTTGTCTTCAATGTCACATTACTTTGGAGGGAATTATGTAAAATTCTTCTCTATTCTTAAAGCATAATATAAAAAGCCTTCTAGTCACATGGGTGAAGTTCATTTTGTGAGCTGTGGCTTTTTAACTATCATTGCCATAGTGAATTAATCATGAAAAGATTTTAATCTGTCTTGTCTTTGAGGGAACTTTTATAGACATATCCTGTAATGAGGGAAAGCTTGGAGAAATACAAACTGCATAGAATTTATTGTAGTTTATAGTTTATAAAGAATAAACAAATCTATTGGCTGTTCAGGCAGAAAGGGAGATTCTTTGCATTGCATACCTGGAAAATGTGGGCAAATTCTCTACTGCAGCTCCAAGATATGCTGGTAAATTTATTTTTCAATCTCTTGTGATTATGAGGATCTTTAAGAGCAAGAACTAGCTGGAGGAGAAAAATAAAAATAATTTTTTAAAAAAACAGCCAGAAACAGTACATGTAATGAGGCTGATCAGGGCAGATCAGTTGGTGTGGATGTAGTAACTGAGGGACAAGGTCTATTAATGATGCAAAAGTGCCTGCAGCAATTAATGCTAAATATTACTGTACTCCCTGCTGTCATTTGTGTTGCTCTTCCTTGTTGATAGGGAGAGGCCAACAGCTTCCTCACACAGTAAGAACACTGTTTTGCAGAGTAGGTCTGATTTGCTGCATAAATAAGTGGGCTAAGCTGCAGTCTGTCTAATCTGCCCAAGAACCAGGTCACAGCTCCAAGTTTTGTTTCTTACTTTAAAGCAGTCCATTTTGTGCATACTGACAGATGCTGTTGCCTTGACAATAGACACAGACAGATAGCAGCTCCAAGTACAGGTGAATATTCCAGTCATCCCAAGAGAAAGCTTGAACCATTGCTAAGAAATGTTGCCACTGTAAAGGGTAGAAGGGCTGCAATGAGGAAAAGAGTTATCAGGGAATACTATTGCCAGTCTTTGTCATTTAAAAAAAAAAAAAAAAAGTAGCAATCCGTGTTTTTGGGTCCCAGTTGTGCTTATTCCTAGGTATAATAATCACTTTCTTAAAAAGCATGCACAGAAGAATTTCCTTATGTTGTTCATTGCCTGAAATTCAGGATATATGATATATTAAATAATCTCAGGATGTGGATGCACTGTATGACTCTGAATATGTTAAGCACAGAACCAGATTAATCTGAAAGCTGAGGGGTTATGCTGATTCTCTTTAGGACTGCTTTAATGCTGGTGATAATATCCCAATGAAATGTGTCTCTCATAACTATTATAATTTGAAAAGCAGTCAGCAAATTCTTCAGAAGCAAGCAAAGCCCAAGCGTTTGTCTTCAAGCTTACCAAGAGATATGTATACGCCAGTAAGCAGCCCTATAAATTGCTGTTGTGAAGTCACTTCAACTCTCCATTTTCTGATGTTGACAATTGTTTTGTATTAGCGTAAATAATGCAGTGTCAATGTGAAGATAAGGAAATATGTTAGAAAACTTTCACTTCAGTTTACTGTTAAAAACTATTGGAAAATGCCTAGAAAATGTTTGTAGGAAAGCACCATTATTAGCAAACATTTTGCTAGAGTTTCTGGTTAAGATAAAACAGTGAAGTGCAGCAAAAGTACAAAGCTTGTTTGAATCAGTCTGCCTGCCAGGTCAGGGATATGAGGAAATTGTGCGATTATTATTATTTTTTTTTCTCTCCTTATGCCTTCTTTCTAGATTAAAAAAGAGCAAACAAAAAGCAAAAGGTTTTTGCTTATTTGCAATGTGAAATAGAAACTGTTGAAGCCCCAAAGGCTTTTCCTGTCCTCTAAGAACCATATAGAAAATATATAAAACATGGTCAACATGGCCATAAACACTCCTGACCAAAAGAACACTAGTGGGTACAGACTGGGAAGACAGGCTTGCCTTTTCTGAAACTCTGCTCGCAATTTACACCATGTAACCTCCTTGCCTTTTCTTTGCTGTTTTCCTGCAGAGGACAAGCTGGAACAGCAGCATTCTCTGTTTACACACTATAAAGACCCATGTCGAATTGGTCCTGGGGAGGATAAACCATGGGCAATCGGTAAGATCTGCTCTAAGTACCAATATGTGACCAAAACTCGTTATCTTTTGTCACAGACACAGCAGCTGCAGGCAGCAGGTACTGCAGCTAATGAGCAGTGACGGTGTGATAGAGACTTGGTATTTACAAGTGGCCTTTCTGTATCACAGTGTATAGTCTGTAGCCTCAGCACTGTCTTATTAAATTGCAATCAAGATCCAAAACCTCGGTTCACATTTGGAATGGCATGTAAGGATCAAGCTACTTGAATGCCGTCACACACCTATTCTACTTTAAAATAGGTTACTTTGAAAAAACATGTTTCTGTTCTTTCTGCATACAATGAAAATCTGCAGTTTTTGATCAGAACATTCCCTTGGTGATGTAGGGGTGCTGGAAGGGAGGCTGTAACAAAGTAGTTGAACATTAGCAAATCCTAGGGTTCATCTTAGGCTGGAACTCTGGTTATAATTGCGTACTCTAGGGGAAAGCTAATTCTTGGTCTAAACCTTCACTGAATTCAACAGAGTTGTACCAGTATTGGCTATCCCAAAGATATTAAAGTAAATGTGGAACTATGCAATATTGTGGCTGAATCCACTCATAGAAAACAAAGAAAAATCAGACAGGTTGGGACTGAGACACGGAAGCAGAAGGTGTTTGCTTTTGCTAAACTCTGATCTACCTAGAATGAAAAGGGGCTACAAGGAATAAAAATTGGGGCAAGAATTAGTAAGGAATAAGTGAGCATTACAGACTAGAACAAGTAGAAGAAACAGAAAATGTTGAATGTTAAATTTAGACTGGAAAATCTGCTAGGAAAACACTAAGATAGGGACTGTACTGTGGGCAAAATGGAACAGAAGATATATGGAAGGAGACAGAAGAAGAAAAGCTAAGATCAAGCATTCTTATTCTGTGTGCCAGAAGGAATTGTTTTTCTACATTTATTCTGAAAAGAGAGAATCTATTAGTCTGAAAGCATCACATAGTCAAGTGTGAGGTGCCATCCCTGTAAGAAGGATAACTGTTGTGCGTGGATATCACTTGTGTTCAGAAGCAAGTGAATAAAGAATGCACAGTCAGAAGAGCCCTTTTTCCCAGCATTTATGCAGTCTTCACCCAGCTGTAAGACTTCCTGAGAGGACAGGTAGCAGGAGGAATGCCCAGACAGTCATGTTTCCCTCTCTGTCCACAGGTACCTTATTGGATCCTGAAGGATTGTATGATGAAGAAGTGTGCACGCCGGATAACCTGCAGAAGTAGGCATTGCTGCTCCTCGCATACCTCAGACCATTGCTAAAAAGTTCCCTGCTTGCTATTTAACATTTCACAGGTTGATGGTGTTTAATGGCCCATAAGACATGTTTACTCAGTTCAGTACTGCTGGGGACTTGAGGTGGAGAGAAGACAAAAGGAGGAAAAGTGTCTACTTCTCAAATTCTATTCGAATTGGCTTCAGTGAGTGAATTTTTGATGAAAGTGGTTGCAGTCAGTGCCTTTATATTGCAAGAGATGCTCCTACCTGGACAGGCCCACAGGAATAGGACAAGCAACTGCAAGCACTGCTGGAAAGGGCGCTGTCGACAGCTTGTTCAGAGATCTGTGCACACAGTCAGTCCCATGGTTCTGGCACTCTGGAGGAGCAACAGAAACAAACATGATGTCCCCTCAAAAAGAATTTAAGCTACCACCCCAATCCAACAACCAATTACTCCTGCAGAATTCATGATTAAAGAGGCAAAGTCACAAATATAGAGAGGAATTAAAGAGCATATCAAACAACTAGGAATAATACTGCTGAGCCTTTCGGGGGTACCAGTCTATCATTACTTTGAAAATTTGAATAATGGGAAATAAATCTTTAGTGTGATTTAGTGGACTTAAGAGAAATGCAAAAGAAATATCATCTTGCGGAAGTCCTAAGGTAAATTTCCTGAAGTCTAATACTATTTGTTAAATAACATGCCAAAGAAGAGATAATAATAAGCTGTGTACATTGCATAGCAGTGGTTAGTGACTGTGGTAAGGTTCTGCACTATTTCTCTTCCTGGAAGGCTAGTTGTTGAAGACTAAATGTTATTAACATGACTAACTACAAAAGATGTTCTACCTTTGATTATCAAAGTATTCTAGAGGTAAAGATCCTTGAATTAATGACTTTGCATTTGCACATAGCTGTACAGATGGTTCGGATAGCACATATACTGGAAATGCTACACTTACTTAGGCACAGTGTGTTTATCTTGGCATTTTAGCTTACTAAGAAGTGCAATGTAGTGTTTGATATAGATGTACCCTTTGTTGAGTACATTTGGTGACGCTAACCCTTAAAGTCCTTCTTATATCAGATTTGAGTGAAGAAATTGAATTAATATCTAGATATAAGGTCTAGGTTTGTTTAGCTTACATAAAAAAAATCTTGTAGAGCAAGTCACACTTTGCACATCAAAAACCTGCAGAATTTCTGGACATTTCTATTCACATGTTGAAAACAGATTTAGTATATGTGAAAGGGATTTTCGGAAGCTGAAGTAATTTGGCCTCTGCAATTAAGTTTGCAAATGTAAATCTGCATGTGGGTGTAACATTCTATTTTATGATTCTAAGAACAGGCTTGGAGCTCTTTAAAAAAAAAAAAAAAAAAAAAAAATTAAATGGGTTTTTAAGCAGCCTTTTGAGACCATCTGTCATCAAATTAGTTCGCAGATATTTTCTTAGTTACTTGTATTCAGCAATTAAGCTCCACAGATATGCATGTGACTGACAGATAAATAGCCATGAGATAATCCGTCGAGTTTTATAGGATTACTTGAGTTCCTTAGATGTATCACCTCAGAATGAGATATAGCTGGAAAGTATTCTTGGACTTTTCTAACAGTATATATATCTATAATGCTTTTGCCTACTAAGAGTAGCTTTCCGTTTTCTGCAATACATGATAATTGTTTTAAATAGATCTCTTAAAAAAAATTCTACTTAACAGCAATTTCTACTAGCTTTGTATTCAGATCTGCAGGGAAGACAGGATCTGCATGTTTAAGCTACTTAGAAGTTCTTTCATATTTGAGAAACCATTGCCCTGACGAGAGACAGGAAGCCTCTCTTCCCATCTTTGCATGCAATCAGTTAGTCTTGTCAGTATTAATCATAGTAATTAGTAATAATTCATAGAAATTGCTATATTTGCATACATCATACTATTTTACGATAATCATAAAAAATGAATTTCAACATCACTAATGAAACCTGGTCTTTAAAACTCTAAAGCATTTCTCTAAATGTCTTTTCTAACACACATAAATTAAGTGCCTGGAGACTATAAGCCCTGTTGACAGCGTAGAAGCTGGGTAGCACTGCACAGCTAACAACAAATATCATTTATGCAGCAAAGCAAGGTACAGCGTAAAAATGATTATTTCAGAAAACTTTCAGTAGTATATCTTGATCTAGTTCTAAAGCCATTTAAAACACAGTTACATCAGCAAGAGGAAGCAACGTAAGCTCCACAGTTACTTCATCAGCATTATTTCAGTAGTTTATAAATAAAACTAAGCAGTTGGCATTATTAAACTAATTAGTCCATGAAAACAGTAGCATAGCTAGTTCTTTACTGTTTCTTTAAAGTCCTGCATACATTAAACATCAGATTAGGAGAGCAGACTAGGTACAAATAATTAGCAAGTTTTTAACAAGGGAATAAATTGAGCATTCTGGCTCCCCCCTGAGGATTCTGCTCTTCATGCTCCTTTGTTCACTGCAGCTATGGGCAGCAATTACCAGCCTAAGCTGATCAGCCTGAGAGTCGCACGACAGACAGAGCTTTTACACTTGCACTTGGTAGATCAGTTACATAGAGAATAAAACCAGCCGCCCCTTGCCCAGGTATGCACTTTCTGAAACCACTGCACTGATCCATACCCTCTCTGTAAAGGTGGTTATCTAATTTCAGAAGGAGTTGCACTGACCCGATTGGACAGGTTTGTGTCAAAGTAGCTACATGTTTTTCTAAGGGAATCCATGAGAGAGTTTTTGCAAATGGTACATTTAAAAATACTGGAAGCAGCCGAGGGAGGAGTGGCCTAGGCTGCAAGGTACTGGCGGAGAGCAGACAGGCTAGATCCTGCTGTCTGATATTTGCTCTCCCGGCTGCACGGGTTGGTACCCAGCTCCACTGTGCAGTGTCCGTGATGAGATTCACCATCAGCCTCGTATTGAAAAACATGGCTGGGGAAGACAGGCTTCACACTGCAATTTTACTAGTTCTTTTAGATGGGCATTACTCTTTCTGGGGGTTTGCAGAGAAGCTAATGTAAAATGTACGATGGGACAGAACGAGCAAATATTTAATGCACTTGGCCTTTCTTTGTGAAACAGAGCACTGGAAAGTGAAGAAGGAAGGAAAGGCTACTTAGTCTACCCCACCAGCAAGAACCATAGTTCCAGTCAAAAGGGGAGGAAGGCATCACTGAAAGGAAATGGCAGGAGAATTGACTATATGCTTTATACAGAAGAAGGACTCTACCTGGAATGGAAAGTGGTGAGTTTTACAAGAAAAAGCCATAACCCACAGAACAAACTGCATTCCTGACTTTGCAAACATGAAATTTGTCTATATATTTTATGGAGTTTGGGGTGGTTCTAATAGCAATGCTTATAGATATAATGCCCTTCAAAACAAAAACAAATCTTTTTTTCTGTTCTTTAGAGTTTTACCAGACTAAGTATTTTGACTGATGCTTTTCATGCCAGCAGTCTGTTTAGGAGATAAGAGGAAAAAGGCTTCTTTTTAAAGCTGTATAACTGTATTGTTAAAATCTCCCTCTCAGAAAAGTTATTCCAACTATATGTAGTTCATTGAGTCTGCTCAGGTGTCTGACTGTGCTTTTACTATGCCTAGGAAAACATGCCTAAGTTGTAAGTGTGCAATATGCAGACAAAAGTGCTAGGCTAGAAAGAGGATTTGCAGCATGTTGTCTGCTTCCTAGTGCGTGATCTTTCCTGGGGGAATTCTGTATAAGGTAAATGAGAATCTAGTGCATTTCTTGACTATAACTCCACTGCAATTACTCTAGATCTGTACAAGTTTTGCACATGGTACCTTGATCTGCCTGTGCTTTCCATTTGCAGGCGCTCAGAAGACACGCCAGCTTAGCAGCTAAATTATTCTAGGGCTCCTGGTTTCAGATGTGCAGATGTCTGTGGTGCATCTGTGTGCTAAACTCGTCCTACATTCAAATGAACAGTAGCAGAAATATTGGGATACTTTTGACTGAGAATAGAATTTTAATAAGAGAAGTACTTGTCTGAGTAAAAAATGTTTGGCTAAAAGGGCTAGATTATTTTGTCTGGTGGGATGCCAGTTAATGCTAGCCAAAAGGTGCTTATAGAACTGTAATCTACTATCTATGCTTCCTGCAAACCATTATCAAAGTACTGGCAAAGTAAGTACCTGGCCCATAGAAATGGACAACTAAATTGTATAAGGAGAATGCCAAAGTTGCTACATGAAGTTTTCAAAAGCTGAGAAGTAAGCGGTATTTCCCTCCAGAACTTTAATCTAAAGAGCCAGGCCCATTTCAGGCCTTCATGGTCCTATATGTCTATTGATAATAGAGTGAGATAGCTGTAGGAGGCATAAAAGGTGAAGCATGAGATGTGATAACACACACTGTTTTTTGAGTTCCTTTTGCTTACTTTTTGTCTTCCTTCTGCAGGAAGTGGAAGAGTTCAGCTTTATCACACAGCTAGCAGGCTTGACTGACCACCTACCAGTAGCAATGCGTCTAATGGTGTCTACAGGAGAAGATGACCCCTAAAAGCAACCAGCTTTGAGATTAGAAGAGGGAAACATTGACGATATTAGGAAAAAAAAATAAATCTCAACATAAGAAAAAACTATTCTGGTGCCACATTAGGAAAGATCAGCAGACCTGACCCAGGCTACGCTCCAGAATGTACCAACAATAGAGGATATAAAAAGGGAAGAAATTGAAGGGGTTGTGGCCAGAAAACACTGTCAAAAGTTGCTCAGGCAACAGGGCAGGCCTGTATTACAATGCTTTCACTGTGGACCGAAAGGAACTAAGATGGAAGACCTAATTCCTTCTGAACCAGTGCCATTCTTATTAAAACATGTTTTTATACTAATATATAGCACAATTTAGTTTGTAATTAGTCTGTGAGTTAGTGCTGCTCAATGGTTTTTTGCATAATTTCTTTGTATAACTAAGAAGCTAATGCTTTTTTTTTCTTTTTTAGCCTGTTAATGTTGTAGTAGCGTGCTTGCATCGGTAGCATGCGCCCGCACTGCATGCCACTCAGATAAAATAGTAAGACACCATGGGGAAAACAAGAATGGAAGTGAATTCAAAACTCAGAAACCAGCAAAAGTAAGGCATTCTGGGACTGGCAAACCTTTCTGTCAATACAAATGGATCTTAAAACAATTCTACAATTTGCAGATGAAGTCTCCTCTTGGATGAAAGATGCTTAAAAAGTAGGAAATAGACTTTATAACACAGTTCTACCATCCTCTTCCAGTGTGTTCCCACTACAATTACGAAGTATTTTGTCTGAATAATGACTCCAGAATTGGGCCTTTAGTTTTCTAAGCACAAGTTAGTCTTTGAAGAAATACAGTTCCCTGAAATGTCTGTTATTTCCTTCCCAAATGTGGGGCAGTTCTGAATTATGGTATGGGATGATATGTAGTGTTACAGTGGAATGAATAGATTCCTGTAGTACCATTGGTAACCTCAAGAGTCAACATTCTGCCTTGACTAGAAAGAGTAAATGGGAAATAGCTTGTAAAATGTATGCTAGATATAGAGTTAAAATGAACGTCAGTGACATTTTTGGAAAACAAAGTATAGAAGAGTGTATGACTGATAAGGCAGGGTAAAGTAATACTTTCCAAAGGAATTAATACACTCAAAGAGAAGCATGGCTAGTTTACAGAATAAATAGGAAATAGAACTGTGACTTGCAGTGTTAAGTAACTTCTGAGCAGAGGTAGGTTCATATCTGTGGGACACAATACCTGTATTTGCTATGCACAGACTTTAGACAACAGGAACCCCTATTAATTCATATATTCTTTTCACTGCTGTCCTTTAATGTGGGGCTTTTCTCAGCAGTCTTATCCCAATGTCCAGATCTACTTAACCTCTGTGACCTTAACAGAACAGGAATGGAGAGGTGAGTCAAATTCATAACTAGACGGCTTGACATTTTTAGGGATTTAAGTTCAGAAGAGAGGAAAGGTGTTGTTGGAAGAGCAAGATCCCTTGCCTTTTAAACCAGTGCTCAGTTTCCTCTGCTTATTTTTCCCAAAATCCCTGTGTTTAAGAAAAAGGAAGGTTAATATAAAACTTATTCCTTTAAGTAAACTGTTTTAGTTATGCTGGCCACAAACACCTGAAGATGCTCTTGTTTTGGTTGAGTTTACCTGCTAGGAATAAGCTTGAGATGTTTTAAACTAAACTAGATTTAAAATAGAAATCTCAGTCTGCACAGCCTCTTGTACTGGTTTGAATTAGCTACAGTAAATAGCAGAACTTCTACTGATACCTACTTAAATAATTTCCAAGCAGAGAAAATCTTACCTTAATAGTCATGAAAGTACTAATAGTTTTGGCTAATTGCAAACCAGTGGTAGAGGTCCTCTTCACACTATCCCAGTGTGTCCGATCCTGACATGTTTTATGCCTCCTTTTCCAGTCCTGGCATCCCTTCAGCAGAGACTGCCTCTTACAAGCGTAGTGTGCCAAACCATGCGGTAGTCTGCACAGTGCAACCCATGGAGACTCAAAAATGGAACCAGACTCAGCTTCCTTTTTTGATAAAATTAGGAATTCAAGTTTACAGCATCAGAGACTTCTGTGTGCCACCCCAGCGCACAGTTCCCCAATTTGTATGTTTCTCTTTATACAGAGAGCGTGCATATGCGCAGTGTGTTTTTTCTGGTTTCTTATCTCTCCAACCAGTTCAAAAGACTTGTATCTGAAACAATGCTTTTAATCCTATTTTCTACCTTGCTTGTATTTTATTAACCTTTTTAAGAAAGAAAACAAACAATAACAGTAGCAATTTGTGTGCTGTCCAGCAGCTCTTTCTCAGTCGTAAGATGAAATATACAGTACAGTATTTTTAATAGCTTTCCTAACAATGTAAATTACAATTTGATATCAACTTCACTGAGCATCAGTTGCAGTAGCTGAATTTGACACTGTGTGGGATATAATCATAAAACTCTACTGCCAAACAGTCTTGCATTATTTACAGTAAAACTAATGTTGTCTAAATTACTTTTAAATTAGTTGTGACTTTGTGCTGACTAAACCAGGCACTTTTGTCAACCTTTTGAGATATGTTGAGAAATATTTTTTCAAAATTGAAGTAAACAGTTTTAGATTTTGATGTTCTTAGCTTTTCAGTGATCAGGAAATGGATAGTTGTAAAATGGTCTCTTTAAACAACATACTTGCACACACTTAACCAGTCTAGGTAGTTCTTACTAATTTACTGTCTTAAGGATCTAACTTGCAAGAGTGATGCTGGGAGGTACAGCATTGTGGCACCACTGTACAATTGCTCCCTGCTTTTTTGCATTGACCCTGTGCCTTCTGATGCCTTGATATGCTTGCAGGAGTTAGAGAGCACATCTACTGGTAAACTGTCAAGACTTTCCTTTCCAGAGAAGTAACATCCTGGAGAAATCCAGCTTGTCTTCACTACTCCTACAGTTCCAAACACTAGCTCAGAAAAAAAATATTCAGACAATAACTGTACTGACAGGATATCAATCATAACAAGCCTTAGACTGATACTATTGTAATAGAATATTTGCATAAAAATAGAAAAAGGAGCATCATCTCTAGGAAACGAAATCATGGATAGCTTTTCAGATGTCAATCCTACCTTGCCTAAGGACAGCATGACCCACTTTATTAGTAGGATGTTATTTATGAGAAATTTGAGTTAAACTTACTGTATTGTGCTTACCCCACTGTGTACAGGGATTTCATTTACCTTCAAGAAGTGGGTGACAATGCTATTCTTGGTTTAGTAACTGCCGCTCACTGTGGAATCTGTAGATGAAGTGTCACCTGTTTTTATAGATGCTAGGTACACACCAACAGCCTGTTTCTCCTGTTCAGTTTGCATTTTACAACACTGTTCAAGAAAAACTGAACAAAAGACATTTACATGAGTATAGCTGAAAATGGGAACTTCCTTAAGATTCAGTGATGTCCAAATCTTATAGCACTGGTACTTTGACATCATTTAAAACATACCAACCTACAGAAAGGAGTATGCAGCCTTTCAAGTGCACTCTGAGCCACCAATCTGTGCTCTCTTGGCCCAGTGCTTCATACCACAGCTCAGCCACTCAGGACAATGATAGCAACACTTGGTGTACAGCTCTAGGCTGCATGAAAAAGTGTTCACTGTAACTAAATAATCCAGGTGGTGGCCAGCTAGTTTCATCATTACCACAAACTAGATGCCCAATAGAAGTTTCCTAAAATAACATGCATACCACACACTGGCTTCAGGGGACACTTGCAGCCTGTAGAAGTGTGGGCAGCTTTATAGAAACCCTGGAGAAAGTTCTCACATAATGAGTTTACCTGTCTTGTGCAAGTATTATTACAGTGTTTTATCCCAGAAGCACTCCTGGCTAGTCTGGCTAAACCTTCAGTTCTACCTGTTAGATAAGACAGTAAGATTTAAGGAACTTCAATATGTATGTTTAAATGGCATGTGGTGGGTCAGATGAAGCAGGTATGACTGTCTTCAGTTTGGTATCTGAGCTACCTTTGGACCACATCACAGTGCATCAGTGTCAGCACATATCAGCAAAGAAATGAAGCATTTTTCCATCCTGCTGCAATAGAGGATGAGAAAAGAAACACCTACAATTCAAGCACTTTGAAAAAATCCCTATTTCTAATAATCCATTCTAACAAGGGTCAAATTGTTACTGAAGGTCTCATTTTTTCATACCACTTTGTTTTAAATATAATCTTGATGCTTTTAAAAATCTTGTATTATTGCTGAAGTTTAGAAATCCTATAATAAAAATAGCCTTTTTTATTTCAATAATTTTTCGGTATTGTATCCTTCTGGGACCTAATGTTTTTATATGGTAAGCACACACCTTCTGACATTTTGTTATAAATGTATTAAAAAAATAAAAACTAAGTATTTTCACTGCTTTCTTTGCCTCTAAGAAAACCACAATCTTACACACCTGACGAAAGCAATGGGGAACAACGGGGAAGTTTTTTTTTGTCCTTTATTGGTGCTGAAAGGAGTAACTGGTTGATGCAAACAAGGTAATAAAATTTCAAGGCTCAAACATTTCTTTGCAGTCCACTTTTTCTGGGTTTGGGGCATGGGAGTCAGATGACTAACATATTTGAATCTGCCATGCAGTACCTTTAACACTTGTCTGTAACCTTCTGGTGGTGGAATCAAGCCTGTTCTAGTGAATTTGCAGAACAAAATAAAGGGTGAGTGAAATTTATGTTTTGAATACCCCATTCACGTTGACCTCAAACGTCCCTCCAGCTACAGCTCCTCAGTTTTAAAGCTAAGCCACCTTCATGCAAGTGCTCGCGTTGCTGTAGGCTATGGAACTGAACTACACATCTCCACACCAAGTCCACGCTTAAAACACTATAACATCCATCTGACATTGCATGCTCTTTTAAATGCTGTAGAACCATATGCTAAACATAAGACATTCAGCTTCTGGATAGTTTGCACCTTCCAGGCTTTTAACTAAGAACATTTCAAATACATAAAATTTTAAATCTTTCTTGCTAATCCTGCCACGGTGGGGTTTTAATGTACTTTATTATGAACTTACGCCCACTGCTGCCTGTCAGTCAACCCTGTAACAGACATGCCATCTACTATTTTGTCTATTTTACAGATGCTCTTGGCAGACCAAAAAAAAAAAAAAGGAGAAGAAAAGAAAAAATAAGGATATTTACACAATAGGTCAACATACTCATGGAAACCATGGAATCCCTACCACCAGTGAATTGGGAGCCCTCTATTCCTTCCCTGTCCCTCTCCCCTCTTCCACAAGAGCCTTTAGCGGTCTCAGGAATATCTTGCACTACTACAATCCATATGGGCACTCGGGGTTCTGCTCAGCCTTACACAAGCTTCAACACCTCTGTGAATACCATTGCTTCTCACGCTGACATCACCCTGTCTTTTTTTTTTGGTCTCATGTATAGATTCTTTGGGGCAGGAGCCCATCTCACTTACTTTCCTTTTATATGGAAGCAGCACCAAATGGCCAAGGAAAATGTTTCCGAGGCACCAAAACCCATCAAAACAGTAAACAGTGATTGAAAGACAAGATTAACAGCAGAAGAAATACCAACAGCCTTCCTGTGTGCTTTGAACAAGGAGCTAATTGAATATA